CCTGGCTTCTGCTTCTGAAACCAGGGGCCCTTGGGAACCTTGTACATGCAGCAGAACTTCTTCTGGTGTGGTGTGGGAAGATGAGGCCCTCCTAGGACTGTGGAAGGACTTCCTCTCCAGAGCAAAGTCTACTTTCATGATGGGAAGGGAGTAAAGTGTTCAACCAACAAAGAAGACTTTCATTTGCTGATGTGACACAACTCTAGATGAGGAGAATTAGCTACAGACCCTCACTCTGCTTGGGACAGTGCAGGGACAGCTCAGGAGAGGAAGACCCTCTTGATGAGATGGATCGATTCAGTGATTGGGGTAGTGGGAGTGGATGTGGCAGAGACAGCGAGGCTGGCACAGGATAGAGCAGGGTTTAGGGCTCTTGTACACAGGGTCGTTATGATTCACAAGCGACTCGACAGCACACAACAACAACAACAACTCTCTAATATTGAAAGGATGGAATGTACAGAGTATGAACCTAAGAAAATTGGAAGTGGTTAAAAAGGAAGCGGGACATGTGAACAGTAGTATCCTAGGCGTTGTTGTTGTTGTTGTTATTGTTAGGTGACATCAAGTAGATGATGACTAACAGCAACCCAGTGGACAACACATCTGAGCCTTCCCCCACACTGCGCCCTCTCCTGATCTCTGTCCTGCTCAAACTCGTGGCAGGAGGCACTTTTCAGTCCATCTTGCTGACGGTCTTCTCTCTTTCTCTGACCCTCTGCCTTTCCCGGCCTGATGTCTCGTGGTGAAATGTCATCTTACATACTTGGGGCTGGTTTTCAGGAGGAACCAGTACTTGGAGAGAGACATCATAGGCATTAGTGAGCTGGAATTGACGAATATTTGTCTACTGTGCTAGAAATGACACATTGAAGAGGACTGGTGTCACATTCATTGTCACAAAAGATATTTTAAGATCTTTCCTGAATGACAGTGTTGTCAGTGACAGAATAAAATCCACAGGAATACAAGGAATACTTTTTTTATTATTACGTTCTTATTTTTTGTGCGTGTACCTTCAAATTGGGTCTGACTGGTTCAGGAGGAGATTGCCCCTTTCTCCAACAGAGCATCTGGTGGATTCGAACCGCATACCTCTGGGATTCCAGTGCACTTCTTGCCACTAGCCTACCAGACCTCCCTAAGGAAGACCTGTTAATGCAACTCTTAGGCAGATTTTCACAACTACTACAATTTATATAACTGCTATAACAGAAGATAAAGAAATTGAGGGATTTTACCAACATCTATAGTCTAAAATGATTGTAAATACAATCAAGATGCATAATAATGGCTGGTGATTGAGATGCAAACATTGGAAACAAAGAAGAATTGATAATTGTAAAAACAATGATAGAAGTGAGGCAAGAGATCACATGATCGAATTTTGTATGGTTAATGACTTACTCATTGAAAGTGTCTTTAAAAAAAAAAAGCAAACCACAACTATACACATGGACCTGACTTTATGGAATACACAAGAATCAAATCAACAATATCTGTGGAAAGAAATCCTTAATGTTATCATCTGGGACAAAGCCACAATCTGACAGTGGAACAGGTTGTCGGCTATTCATATGCAA